TTCCATCCAGTCACTCTTCTATCCAATTTGCTAACTTATCCTCCACATCTAGAGAGATAATTATTTTTTATAATCCTTTTATGCATCACATTGTCAAATGCTTTCTGAAAATCCAGATACACCAAATCTACACTCTTACCTTCATCTACGTAAGCAGTTACCTTTTCAAAGAATGTCAAAAGATTTGTAATGTAAGATTTTCCCTTAGTGAAACCATGTTGACTATCCAATAAAATTCCAAACTTTGTTAAATGGCTTTGCAAAGCATCTTTTATCAGACTTTCCAAAACTTTTCCACTGATGTAAGATTAATAGGTCATTATTTACTGGGACAATTTTTATCACCTTCCTTGAAAAGAGGAGTTACAATTAGCTAACTTCCAATCCTCTGGTACCTGCCTACTATTTATGGACTGACAAAAAAATAGTAGCAAGTGGCTCACATATCCAATCTTTAACCTCCTTCAAAACCCTTGGAGAAATATTATCTGGCCCAGGAGCCTTATCATTCTTTAAACTTCCCAATGTTTTCTTAATCAGCTCAGAATTAATGCAGTCATCTAGTTTGATCTTGTTTCTATCTATCAACTGTTCAAGATGTGGAATACTGCTTAAATCTTCATCAGTAAAAAACAAAGAAAAAGCAAAATTTAATAACCCAGCCATCTCATAATCATCAGATACAAACCTTCTTTATCATCTCTAAAGGGTACTAACCCCCATCCTAACATTTTGTTTACCTTTAATGTATTTAAAAGAGATCTTTACTCTTAATTTTTTCATTTTCTCATACTTTCTTTTTGATGTCCTAATTTCCTGTTTCACCAACTTTCTTGACCTGCTATAATCTTCCAAATCTCCTGTTATTAGATTTCATGAAATTAATTACACTTAAAAGTTTTCTCACCTCTAAGACACAAGCTTCTTTATTACCCGTTGACAGGTCCACTTCAGGCTGATCATCATCACTGCTCTCCGCATCATCACTCTTACCATTCATGTGTGACTCAGGAACAGGGTCCTGTTACAGAAAATTTAAAACAACAACAGTAAACATGGAGTGTAACATTAACTTTTCCATATTCAACAAAATATTCATGTAAAAATTATGAACTTCTGATCAGAACAATCTACTTACGTTGATCAAAACTAAAAATCAACCCAGTAATGAGTATAGTTAATATACTATTCTTGCATTCTCTGGTTACCATCACTACAAGTAATATCTACCATTAGCACTGTTTAAAGTACTAATGAATTTTTTTATTTTGGAATTAAAATTTTCAATGCTATAAGTTTACACAGAGGGTTGAGTACATTATCTTAAAATAATTTTGAATATGCAAATTAGCAATTCACCTGAAAACCACAGTTAATATAAAGCTGCAGTGGAACAGCAGGTATCAGACAAACATTCTGACATTGCTTGTATTCCTTAGATAGTTTTATGCTATCAAAAATTGATAGCTTTTGGGGAAAATATGTAACAGCTATTTCTGATGCATATAATCATGAACTCACATCTTCAAGATGTGTTCAGATTAGGGATTTAGGATTTCTAAAACAGGAGGAATATCCCTTGTGAATAATGGCATTGGAAAACAAAGGAATATGAATTAGCTGGAGAAACCAGTACCATTGGGAAAAAGACTTGCAACATGTTGTATCCCAGCCATAATATAACAGATAGAAGTCCATAAACATACAAGCCCATAGCAAAAACTGTCCACACGTCCCAGGCAACAGTATGCAACAAATCAAGAAGGATCTGTCTGGAAGTGAGGTCAACAAGTTATGGATTGACCAAAAAAAAAAGGTTTTCAGGGATCCTCCTGGTTAACCATCATGTACCTCATGCAGCTGTAGAATGAAATGGGTATTCATGCCATTCCACATGAAGACACACAGGCCAAATTGATGGCCATAGTGCCTATGCATATTTATGCAACTGGGAAACAGTCATCCTTGTACATTACATGGATTATGGAAACTATGCATGGAGGAGCAGAATGTTTTGGACATGGCATCCTTAAAATGAGCTTTTTGCAATGGAAACTATGCTGCAGGGCTATTGTCAGGATATACAGTCATCAGACATAGCATAACCAAACATGGCAAAACAGACTGTAATGACATGATGAGGTTCCAATATTGTTTTTTATACAACATACCGAGCTACTGTAGTTTTTGCAACTTTACTAACTTTTGCCATAATCTGTAAAGTCTTTCTGTTCCTACTGATATTGATTATTGTGATAATTTCAGGTCACAGTTGCATTGATAACAATAACTGATTGAAAACGTTAACCGATGAAATAAAAATTCAGTACTTACAGTAATGTTTATTGATATAGGTTAGCAAACATGTTACCTAAAAGTGTAAAAACTGGATTTTTTACATTTATTGACATATTTAAAAACAGTTAAAACTATAATTGGACAAATTCATTTAAAATTGACTGTCAACTATTTTTTCAGAGCAATTCATTAACAAAACTTTCTTGTTCATACTGTTTATGAAACTCGTCTGATTTGTGATGTATGCCAAGTTCCAAAATTCGAAGCATACTTTCGTGTTTCAGCACTTGTTGGAGGTTTATCAACTTTATGGGTTTGAGCTTCAGCTTCTTCTTCATCTCTCAATTCTGGGTCTGTCCGAATAACAGTCTGACAGAACATTAGTAAACCAAAGTTTTAATGCTGATTCGACCTAGTTATCTTTTCCACTGCGCTTTTTCTTACAGTTTAGGTTTTCTTTGTGTTTTGCTTCCTCTCAATGTCAGTTTAATTTTTAAAATTTTACACAAAAGAAGTTGGGAAATTTTTAATTGCACTGCTGCATTATGTTGCCTCATTTTTGGTAACTCATAATAGCGTTCTAAAATGACAACTTTTTCTTTAAGTGTTAGAGGGTTAACAAAAATTTAAATTTGTTGGAGCACCGTCTTTCATGCAGGAACAAAAACAACTGTACTGTAATTATGGAAAGGAAATGCAAGAGCCTAGAGGATCTAATGACAACTTAGCCTCACCATACTTTATGGTGAACCTTTCTCACGAAGGAATGAGAACAACTAATTATGGATAGGAAAAGCAAGAGCATAGGTGATTTTAATGACAACTTAGCCATGCCATATTTTATAATGAACCTTCCTCAGCTCGCTTGACCTTTAGATGGTTATGCTGATTAAAAGTGATAACAAAAAATGAAGTGCAGATTACAATAAACAATGTTTTTTCTATGTATTTTTATACATTTGGTCAGGACTTATTAATTCTGATAACATTATCCATGTTCACAATAAGTGGCATCCAGTGTATTAATTTTCCATTTTGGTAATTTTTACTTTTATGTAACTTAAATATTGCTTTTTGAATAATTTTGTCATTCATTTTAGGTTCTTTGATATTTTTCTATAAGTTTGAAAGTCGAATCACATGAATTTTAATTATTTTAATCCTAATTTTTATTTAATTTTGTGTAAAGACACTCCATGTTACATATAAGTTACTTTTCATTTAATACATGTTTATACATCTTGTATTAAAATAACTATTTTTATGTGTTGTGTTCAAGTTATAAAAAAATATATTTACTCTAACCTGAGTTAATTCTTTATGAATTATCCAGAATACTTTGGTAAAACTTTAAAATATTTTAGGTTGTTTTGTTTCATCAGCTTATAATTTATTTATGCATTTAGACAGGAACCGGTGCCTTTTTGACAGCTCTTCCAGCTCCTGTAATTCCTAGAATTATCAGTGGAAAAGTAAGTATTAACTGAATTGGAGGTTTTTTAGATACGTTTTCATACTCTCTTTTGAAGTTCCATGAAAGGAGTTTAACTGTAATATTTAGTTGAGAAAATACTATAAAGAAAACAAATTTTCATCATGGACGATGAAATATTACTTAGCTCATGTTTTGTAAAATGTTAGTGAAACAATTTAAATGCCAAATCAGTAGTTATGTTTAACTCTCTCCATGCAGGTTCGATCAATTTGACCGACCACGTGAGTTTTTGTACTTGTATAGAGTTTTTTATAGATTTGATACTACTAACTTTTGATATAGTGTATATATCTTCATGAAATTTGGCATTCTTTCAGTAAACATTGTAAATCTTTCACTTAAAAAAATCATATTTTTAGTGAAGTATTTTTCATAAACTAAAAAAAAAGATTTGTCCTTGAATATATCGAGTATTTGTTTTGAATAGTCTGTGTGCAAAGTAATTTTCATGTTAAGCTTAAAAATACTTATCTTCATATCAAAACTCTAAAACCTTCTAAATACATTTGAAATGTTTGTTTTCAGTAAAACTTTATATTTTGTCTGTTATTTTCTCTACCCTAACTCTCTACAAGGTTGGTCAATTTGATTGACCTTGTAACCACCAAAAAAAAAAGTTGAAATAAATCTAAATTACCCTTTTTTTCTTTCTAGAATGTCTTGAAATGTAGCGTGAAACCACATTCGTTTATCCTAAGTGGCTTTGCTTTAAACTCATAACAGTATTCATCTATTTATAATTATATTTTATTGTTTTATTGCCCTTTGAACCATGTCTAACTACTGTTCGTGCCATTACAAGTTCTAAATCGCTTGGGGGAATGGCTTGAGAAGTGGATTTCTGGGGAAGGTGGGGGTTTTGAGAACAATAGGGGTTAGGGTTTGAGAAACTGGGGCTTGGCATTGAAAGTTGAAAGTAAAACTTGAATGTTCTGTTGATGATTTTTTGGTTAAATGTAATAAATGTCAATTTTGTTTTTGTTTCTAATTGTCTGTTGTTTTGGGGGAGGGGCAAGGGGAGAACTCGGCCCCGGATGAAGCTTAGTGACCCAGTAATCGTCCAAATTTTACTACCTGTGCATCCCTCGTTATGATTGAGAATACATTTCTTTATCGAAACATATTCACATTTCCTTTGTGTAAATTCTAAAACTTCCTAATAAATACCAAATTTGTTTTTCAGTAAAACTATATTTTATCTGTGATTTTCTCTACCCTAACTCTATATGGATATGGTCAATTTGACCAATCCTGAAACCACTATAAAAAAATTAAATAAATCTAAATTACCCTTTTTACTTTCTAGAATGACTGCAGATTGTAACCAAAAACTACAATTATATATCCTAAATGACTTAAAGCTACATCTGTTTATACTTAATTTTATTGCTTTATTGCATATTATGATTTTATTTCCATTTTGTTTGAAGCAGAATTATTTGTTTTCGCATAATTTCAAATAACTTAGGATCAAATGGGCAAATGATTTTGAGAAACTGAGCTCACGTTTTTGTTAATAAAATATAGTACATTTTTTGTTATGTATTTATTAGATAGTGATAACATCTATTTTTAACCCTTTCACTTGAGTTGGAAACACACATGAATAGGCAACTAGCAGCTATCTACCACCAAGTATTTTGACTGAATACTATTTTCTTTTTATGAAATGTTATAGTATTGTTTCTTGATCATATAAGAGGTACTAAAACTTATTATTGATATAGTAATTCCTAATAATGTTCAACTGTTTGCTTTTGAGTTTTTATTTAGGTTTAAGTTTGTAACATAGTAGTTATTTTTAAGCTTAAAATCATACTTAGTTTCTAATGTAAAATGCTTCACCTCAGATGTCATTGTAATTATAATTTTCTAGGGGACTGATAGCAGTAAGCTACATGAGGTACAGATGATGGTACAAGAAGCTGTACAAAGAAACAGGGAAACATATGATATCAAGTCCCATACTATTGTAAGTATTTATAAAGTCTACTGTGTTTTAAGTCTTAAGCCTATGGTAGCATTCAAAAATGTCTTTGATTAGGCTTAGCTCAATTTAGATAAAAAACACATTTTTGCCAATTATATTATTTCATCTCACCCAGGATTACATAATAATTTCCCATTCTTTGTTTTCATATCTATTTCATTTTCATTAATGTATTATCAACCAAATTTTCATAATGGTATAATAGGTTTTTGAATGTCATACAGCTTTTATAATTGAAATTTTCAGTCAGTTTAACTGTTCACTTAATAAGGTAAACTGTGATGTTTGTCACTTTGTAAGTGAAATTATTTAAGAATTTCCAATATCATTGAGAACTTATGACATACATGCTGTATAGAAAAATAAAGGTATTGTTTAATAGAGGTAGATGTACTTCTTGTCACAAATGTCATTATGATTTCTTTGATTGTATTTTCTTGCTCCTAATGTCATTTTTGCAATGTTTAATGAAGTTTAAAAAGCTTTCCATGCCTGCATACATATTACTCTTTTGATTATATAGATATTTGATTGTAATTTTTATTTTTGTGAAACAATATACACTGGATGTCCAGACCTCCTGGTTTGGCATCACAATCCACTCAAACACAAGAGCAATTTCAACCTTACCAATGAGGATACTCTATCAGGGTGGAGTGCAAATTTTGGCATTGGTGACTACCTTATGGGGTGAGGTTTGGTGAAGTCTCATCTTAGAAGCTTCGCATCAGTATGGGAGACATTCACCCCATATCATTCGGTCATTCAAGTTCTCAGGAGCAGATTGATCATTCATTTCACGTCTCCTCCTCCTCAGTCTCTCATACCAGTTGTCTTTCCACTACCTTTTACTCCCAACCACCGAGCTCAAGCCATCCAGGATCTTTACACAAAGAGGCCAAAGAGTGTGCCACCTCCTCTCCCAAGTGTTTTTATTCTTGGCGACCAGTCATCAACCTTTTTTGTCTCAGTCACATCCTCTAGCCTCTTTGGTTTTCAGTGGAGTTGTTTCTTGCCTTTCAGTGGCTCTTTTCATCCGGATTATCGATGACAAAATTCAACTTTGCAGATGCAAAACTTCCTATCCCAATCACCAAGTCTTCAAGGCGTTATCTCCATTTCATGCATGACAACCAGGTTTTTCAGTTTCATACTCTATCATTTGGACTTGCAATCTGCTCCATACATTTTTTGCCAGATTGTCAGAACTTTTTCATGGCATCTTTACCATGCCATCACCAGATTGATATTTTGAAACATAATGATGAGGTTTTGACTCTCACATTAGGCCAGAAAGGTTAGATACAAAGAATATAATTTAAAACTTGTTAAATAAAAGGACATTCATGATACCTTCATTGTAGAAATAATTTTATGTTTTTCAGATAACTGGGTCATTAATTTTGTTTTTAGGAGTTGTAGTGGGATATAACAGTGGATTAGAATTTTTATTTTGAAAATGCCTTCCTTTTCAGAATTATTTCAAAATGTATTTTGTATTTATGTAAATTTTTCCCTTTTAGTAAACCTTAAAATCATTAAATATTTTTTAAAAGATTTGATGCATGAAAGCAATTAATTACACTATTTTTGCTGTTTTTTCTGAGAGTTTCTTGCCTCACAACTTAAATTTTCAAAATATCAGTAACAATATCTCATATAGACTGCTATTGGTACTGTTTTCTCTAAATGTCTATTATGTGTACATTCTAGTTTACTCACTGTCTTGTGTTTCTTAGATTGGTTAAATTTTATGGCACAAATTAGGGTCTTCTACAGATTTTCCTAATACTTCAGTTTTGAGTAATTTTTACTTATGTTTCATTTTTGGGTAATGGATCAAAGTTTATTTGTATTGATTGGATACATGTTAAGAATGTTTATGGTTTATATTCTGAGCACTTATTCTGCTTCACAGATGAACCAGAAACAAGGGATGCTTGGTGGACTGAACTACGAAAAGAGGTCCGATCTCACACCAGAGCTCTGGGATGTAATATTGTCCTTGGCTATTGTGAATCGGCAGAGATCTAGTATGTACAAAGATACATAATTTGTAGGCACTACTAATGTGTAGTGTTTTTTGTAAAAAGTCTATAAAATATTGACTTGATGGAATATCTTGAAATTTAGGCTTTAAACCAGTTTAGGAATTAGGAAAAGTTTCTTTTGTATTAGAGGTATTTTCTCTCATTATTTAAAAATTTATTTTTGGAGTTATTTGTTGATATATTAGTTATAAACTTGTCAGCTATGCACTGTGAATTTGATTTTACATAAGAATGCAATTGATGCTGTAAATTTTCTCAATATACTTTATGCTTTTTTTTAACATTAAACTTTTTTGGATTTTTCTTAAAAAAAAGGAAGAAAAAAAAAAGAGATGCTTTACCATTTTATTATTTGTTGTGAAGCTAAAGCTTCTAAATTAACTAATGTCTTGATGTAAGACACTTCATAAACGAAACATAAACATAGGTTTCCAATCATATTTTTTGCTATGTTAGGAAAATTTTCTTGTCTTTTGTCATAACTTTTATTTGCAATCTCCGACCAATTATATTACATAAGTTTAATATTTATTCTTGTGTTGATTAATTTCCAATTTGCGAGCAGCGATGAGGTGTGTATCCTGTCAGCATCAGGAACAGCTGCTGTGCTCAACACAAATATGTCTAATGAACACGATGGAACATCCACTCTGGGTTACACTCTAAACCCTAGACCTTGTACTGTAGTAACAAACACTCAACGAGACTGGGAAAAGGAAAGAGAGACAGCCAAAGATAAAGAGAAACCTCTGAAAGTTGATATAAACTTGGCCAATCAGGTCAGAGTATCACATAATGGAGATTGGTAAGTATTCCGAAATGATGGTCATGTAAAACATTCTTTTTAATCTTTCTTTCTGGGAATAGTTAAAGCTAGGATTATTTATTGTATCTTGGGAATAGGATTAAAAAACAAACAATAGTGTTAATGTTATCTTTGAAGTTAGTAAGAACTTTTACCCATATTCCTATTTTACCTGGATTTTTGCTGAAAGTTCTGTGCAAACAAGTTTTCAGAATTATTTTGCCATTGAAATAACATAACTTAATCATTAATGGTTAGATTTTTTTTAATCAATTAATTATTTAAGAAAAAAAAAGTAAGACAATATTATTATTCTGTGTTTTCTGCTAACTTTAACTAATAAAGGTTAAAGGTCATGTCATTATAAGAGGGCTTTTAAGTGACTCAATAACCAAAATGTCACATGAACAAGTTTTAATCAAACTGTAAGATACAATTTACTATAAATTAAGTAACATTTGTTTTATCCTTTGATTTATTAACCGAATATGTTCTTGTGGATTAAGTAGGAGCTGAAAGAGTTATATTAACCATTTTTGTTAGGAATTTGAGTCTTGGCAGTTTCATATGAAGTCATTTTTGAAAACTTATTTTGGGTTGAAAACAGATATATAACTGTTGACATAGATTTTAGTTTTAGAAAAACATTTTATATTCTTTAGCAGATTGAAATTCCTTTAAAATTTGTACTGTGAGAAGTGTATCAATTGACATTTACTGATAGTTTATAGATTTGAAGAATATGTGGTGTTTATAAAACAAAGTAGAAGACTACATCACGTAATTAGGGTTAATGTTTTCTCTAATTCTTGTTAGATTATGTTTTTACTACTACATGTTTTTTAAGTAAATGGAAAATAAATCATGGAATGCTTAAATCTGCTTACAGTTTGTATTTCTTATCTTTAGGAATGAAGACTCAGTTAGTCATGCTGCCTGCAGTCTGTGTCATATACCATACAGTGAGTCAAGTGTTCCCTTTCCTGTGAACTTGACACGGTGCATTGTGTGCAGGTAATGTCTTTTACTTCAAAACTTCATAACCATTTTGTTACATATTTCTTTAAATTGTGGGCGTTACTGACTGAAAGTTTTGAGTTTCCTGACGTTTTCTACTATATTATTTATAACCAGTGAAAAAAAGCCAAGGTTTTAATGTATCAAATGACATATTATATTGCATTGTTTTATGTACAGAGTATTGTTTATTTCGCCTCCAGTTGGAAAACTTCTCTTGCAATGTTCAGAATTAACAAGCTTAGCTAAATTCTTAAAGCCTCTTATGCCATAGTTAAAAAGCCAGATAAATTATGATAGCTGTAGGACATTCTTTACTTTGCATGTTTTTACTTTGTATTCCTGTGTGCAATATTCAATTAAATAAAAATCGTTTAGTGAACTAGTGTCATTATTATTTAAAAGTAGACTTAAGTATAGTTGGCAATTGAAAACATGAGGTCACAGGTAAGTGATATACATTTCTTGTTTTCATGTATATTCTTCATTTATTATTATAAAAGTAACTAAAATGGAAAAATTAGAAATTTATAAGGTATTAATAATAAACATTTACAAGGTGTGCTCTCAAGCAGTTCATTCATAATGTCATTTAATAATGTAGTGTGAGCTATGCATTTGTCTAATGATTTACAACCTATGTGGTGGTATTAGTAGTTAGACGTGGGTCAAAGGATAATGAAACAATAAAATTATGTATAAACAGATGTATACTCTTATGATCTTTAAGCTATTTAGGATAATAAATAGTAGTTTCATGTTACAATTTGCAGTCATTCTAGAGAGAAAAAAAGATAATTTAGATTTGTTTTGTATTTTTTTATGGTGGTTATAAGGTTGGTCAAATTGACCTAATACGTGTGGATTTATGATAAAGAAAATAACAGATAAAATATAAAGTTTTAACAAAAAAAACACTTGATATTTATTTAAGAGTGTTTAGAGATTACACAAATGAAAGTTTGAAATTTGACAATTTTGGGTTGAAGAAAAGTATTTTTTTACCTTAACATAAAAATCACTTTGCACTTGGAGCAGTCAACACTATTAACTCTATATTTTCACAGACAAATTTTAGTAAAAATACTTTTGTGCACAAACAAATCAGATTTTTTGTGTACAGAAGATTTGTAATGTTTACTGAAAACTTAACAGGTATCAACCCTGATAGCTACTATAGGGTTACGAGGTCGGTCACATTGATCAAATCCCATTGTGAGGGGGTTTAATAATGCAGTATATTTATTAGTTCAAAGAAATCTTTTTATCAATAAAGTGATTCGGTTTATCCAGCTTATTAGTTGTTATATGTAGTTTCCAGTGTGTGTTCTGTGTACAGGTGTTATAATTTTGTGTTCAGAAAAAGTTAACTTTTTCACAGAATTTATCAAGTTTTATTTATGTACGTTTAGTACCAGATCTCTCTCTCTTTTTTTTCTCATAAAAAAATCTGTTTGCATTTGGAATAGCCTTGGAAGATTTAGAAAAATGTTTCATATTTTTTGAAAATATGATGAACTGCACTTTGCTTTTGAAGTATTGAATTAAAAAAATGAAATGGTTAGAAATCTTGAATATGAAGAAAAGATCATTTGAGTGTATAACTTATTTAACTGGAGCTACTTTGAGTACCATTGCTTATTGAAGAGGACATGGCAGGGCTTTTCTTGTATTACAAATAACTTCAACCCAAAATGTTTTAAACAAGTCATTCATTTATACACATGATTTTCATCAGTGTTTAATAATGCTTGTATCCCCATTTAATTTGGGACAGTAAATAATAATAATGCAGAATGTGTGGTTTGTTATAGTTGTTTTTTGGGTGTAGCCAAGAAGATACATAATATTAATAGTTGAATACTGAGAAACATATGCCTTAAAAAGTGTAGTATAATAAAATGCTATTAACAGACATTTCAGTGAGTAGTAATATATGTTAAACCTCATTTTGGACATGTTAGCATTGTAATTCATTGTGTGCCTCATCTGTTAATGAAACGTGGCTTACAGTGCATAAAGCATAGTTACTAATGAAATAATTATTATACTTTTAATTAATAACGACTTTTATCATCATAAGTCTAAAACACTTCTGTAATTATTCTCAGACGTCTTTCTTTTGAACTTTAAAACTGATATTCAGTTTCAATTGAGACTCAGTGATAAAGCAGGAATCCCAAGTTTCAAAATGGAAAGCTCAAGGGGTATGTTGTAAACTGCTCTTTTAGATAGCAGAATATAGGATTGTATTACACTTGTACATCAGAATTTCAAGCTGATATTTGTTACCATGTTATGTTCTCTCCCCTTTTTTTTTGACAACATTCAAGAAAGTGTGTTAAAAAAAGTAACCTGTGTGTTTATTTGCAATTAATCATTTGAGAGTGGTCTATCCTTTTAAGGTTTTTTTCATGGTTATAAAATTCCTAAATTTTTGATAATTAATCAGTGTATTATGCTGTAGCAATTCAGAAACAAATTTTGAATGAATATGTTTACAGAAGGCACAAAGTTCCAGATATCTTGCTGATGACCATTGAACCACCAAGTGTCCCAGTCTGTGGTAAAGGCTGCCTTATACAAGCTAGGTAGGTACTTTATGGTTTAATTTTCTGGTGTTAATTTCTTTGTTTTCTAGCCAGCAAATGTACATCAATGCAGTAATTTACAATTCATCACATAGTAAGGATACTGTTCTGTTTTTGCTATCTGATTAAAGTATTTAATTGTTTAGTGTGTGTTTGTGTATGCGTGTGTGTGTAATTTTTGCTACCAAATCTACCCCAAAAGGATCACTAAACAAAGTAGCAAAGTTCAATAAAGAAAATGGAGGGGACATATAAAGTAAGGTTTTGATGTGATGATAATCTTTTTTTTTGTATTGGCAAAATTCTTTACATTTTGTGTTCTCAAACCTTTTAAGCAGTAATCCCTTTTCTTCTTGTACAAAGTACTTGATGACCCCTTCCCATACATACCAGTAAATATAACAACAAAAAAACGTGTACAACATGCCACTATCACGAAATATTAAAAATTGTAGTGTACCACAGGTTAGAACAAACATGCATGTAACTATACAGTAATGTTAATTTTATTTGAAATACTGCTTTCCTATTATTGAGAAAGATTCTCGCACACCTCAGGATATATTCTACACCCCACAGTTTGAGAACTACTGCTGTGGTGTTTTGAGCTGACTTTTACTCACCACAGTGAATCTACATTTATACCTAATTTGAATAATATAGCACAGGTAATACTAATTTATTCTTCTGAATTATTCAGTAAACCCATTGTTTAAAATATTGAAAATAAATATTTGACTGTTAATTTGACACTGAATTATATTAGTTTTAGGGAATTCCACCTTCATAAGGAACTGTGGACAAGGACAAATTAAAAGAACAATATTAGGCTCCATAAAATGGTGATGGAGAATATATTATATGTATTATGCTTAGAGTTGTTTTTTACTCACCACAGTGAACCTGTATTTATATAGGATTTGAAAAATACATAGCATTAATTATACTAATTATTCTTCTGAATTATTCAGTGGCCAAGTTATTGAAAATATTAAAAATAAATATGAAGCCTTGTCTATCATTGAATTTACCACTTGTCACTGAGATATATAAATACAGGTTCACTGTGGTAAGTAAAAGACAAGACACTATACATGAAATATATGCTCCACCATTACATAAAGCCTAGTCATATTTTTTTGATCTGCCCTTGTCCAGAATTACTGATGAGAGGTAGACTTCCCCCCCAAAACCAGTAAAACATGATGAAAGGTGATAAATCAGCTGATAGATTGGGCTTCATATTTATTTTTAGTAAATGAAAATCAGATTTAAAAAAAAAACATTTGAAAAGATTTAATACAATAGGTATCATAGCTTCTGGGAAACTGTAAAATGGGCAAGACAGACTTAATTGATGGCTTAGTGAACTTGCTCTCAGGAACATGTTGAAAAACTTTCTGAAGTTCCTTGAATCATATTATTTTTATTTTAGTGCACAGTGCAGTTGAGTATATAATACTAATCTTTATACAACTTAGAAATAACTCATTAATAAACTATACAATTAATATAACATATAAACTCAAGTTTGTTTAGCTTAATGATGTAATATAAGTTGGAAGTATGTGTGAACCTAAAGTATACATATATTTGTATACATACACGATCCTTAATAAGATTTTCAATGAAACATGAATAAAAATTAAATTAAAAACGCATGTATAAAAATAATCCTACATTGATATTTCATATTAAACACTGCTGTAAAAAAAATCAAATTAAAATATAATAAATAAAAGATTAATGGAAAAGTGTATATTTTATTTACCAACTTTTTACCATAAAACAAGAGCAGTTATTATCTAAATTTAACTATATTTATTTTAATGAATTTGAAAATTTTCTTTTGTTAGGGTTTGCAGAGTGAAAAAAGATGGGAGTGCTGAGCAGAATGCCAAAGAAATCAGTGATGTACATAACTTTCTGATTTATTGTATATTTTTTGAATCACAGCTAACTGTATTGAAAATGTTTTTATTGGAATGATTCCCAAAGACAAGTAATTTACCCTAAAGTTTATATTAATATAAAAGTCTGTCATATGTATACAGTATTGGAAAGAATTATAGAAATTGTGAGTAAAAATGATATAAAAGGCAAATTTCATTGTGTGAAAATGAAAATGAACCAGAGTGCAATTACGTGTTGATAGCTCAAACTGTGATTGGTTGTCAGCCAAACAATCAGAAAGTATCACACCCGTATAAAGCCTATAAAAGTTCAGACAATTATACTATTCTCAATAGTGTAGCAGTAGTAACGTGAATCCATTCATGGCTCTCAGCATTGAAATACTGCATTTCAGGTGTGTGTAGAAATCAAGGATTCCTTATGTTGTTGATGAATTAGAGAAAGACTCCATGTTTCAGTAGGAGGTGTATGCAAGACTGAAGAGATACTTTAAACGAGCACTGTCAATAATACAAGTGGTTGAGGAGGAGAACCAGAACTCTTCAAAAGTGATGTTAAGTATCTTTCAGCATGTTCTGTACAAGACAGGTGATGGTTGAGTACAGATCTTACCAATGAATACAGGCAACAATGTTTTCTTAAGAACAATAAAATCCACCTTTAGCAGAAAGTGTTCTCAATAGATGTGTAGCTACTTGAAAACTGCTGCTGCTGAGAAAATATAACTAAACTAAAAGATTGATATTGGATCATAAATGTTAGAATGAGTGAACACTTGGAGATAAGTGCTTTTTACTGGTGAATATAAGTTTGAATTATTTGGCAATCAATGACAACTTTTTTGATGGTAAAAAGAGAATGGTATAATCAATGTACAATGTCTTCAAGTCATGTTGGGTGTCAGTACAAGTTTGTAGCTGCATCTTAGTCAGTGGTGTTGGATATCTTCACAAGACTAATGGCAGCCTGACTGCTGTCAGGTACATGCAGATTCTGATCTATCACTCTATTCCCTTATGAATCATTGTGCAAGGATTCATCTTCCAGTAAGACAGTGATCCCAAGCATACGTGAAATTTGGTAAAACTATCCTGGCAGTAACAAGGTCAATGGAACACTCAAAACCATGACTTGGCCTTGAGGTTGTATGGGCTTATTTAAAAACTGAAAAGGTCGAAAGGTAACCAAACAACCTGGCTGAACTGTGGGGTCTAATACATGACACTTGAAATAATATTTTCACAACTGGACATTGAGAAACTGTATGGTAGCATGGAAACAAGGTATGATACGCTGTGTAGAGCAAATGGTGCACATACAAAATATTAGTGAATTGCACAGCTTATTTGCTTTTATTTTGTATCTTCTGTGAAAATGTTTTGTGTCATTAATAAATTAATCACCTTATAGTCTTTACTTGTTTGTGACTCTGTATATGTATCACTTGTGTTTCCACAGTTATTTACATTATTGTACATGTTGTATGTATGCAAAAAAGCATATTAGGTATATATATAATACTTGTCGAACAAAGAAAATTTGTCAATGCTACCAAAAAATAGAAATAACTAGAAGATGTGCAATAATTTGATTAAGAACCTATGATTTCAATGCTCAGAAAGAAATTTTTAAAGGCTAATATTTTTCTTTGGTTCATCTTGTAAAATTGTTTTAAAATGATTTGATACTAATAGCTTTAACCTGTACCATATGATTTGAAATTATGTTGTTTTTTGTGATTAAATCTTATAACAGTAACAAGCATTTTGATTGTTCACATAAAATTTTGTTACAGAATAGAATTGTATAAACAGTTAAATGTATGATAATATTTTTCAGAGCCTTCCATTTTTGGAGTATGAATTGCATCATCAGCTAGTTAATAAATTAAAGGTAAGAGTGTGTATTAGTAGATATAATGTTTAAAATGATTAGAATAAGTAATGATGGATGATAATAAATTAAAGGTAAGAGTGTGTATTAGTAGATATAATGTTTAAAATGATTAGAATAAGTAATGATGGATGATAATAAATTAAAGGTAAGAGTGTGTATTAGTAGATATAATGTTTAAAATGATTGGAATAAGTAACGATGGATGATAATAAATTAAAGGTAAGAGTGTGTATTAGTAGATATAATGTTTAAAATGATTAGAATAAGTAATGATGGATGATTTAAAAGCATTCAGAATAATTCAAAGTATTATGGATTAAAATATGTTTTTACCTTCAAACAAGGAGTGTAATTATATGTAGCTTGATTCTGATTTATTTGTACTTGTGTGGTAAGTCATGACTGTTTTAATTTTGGATAATATTGCAACATTTTAAGACTTAATCGCTATTGTATTCGAGTAAACTAACTATTTATTTATTTCAGTATAATAATCAGTTTTGTATCTTCAGAAATTTAAAGAAAAAAGAATATACTAGAAACATACTCTTTCTTTAATTTGTAGATTGTCAAGAGTCTCAACCAGTAACTGCTGTTTATTTCTGAGAGCTACATATTCTACAAAATAACTACATAGTTAATATACAATTTCCATCCGCATTACATAGACTTGCAAATGGTTAAAATACTGACAAGTGTTTTGTGTGTGGTATATTTGAGATAAACTGTTTTGAAAATATAGTAATTTACAGTAATATGTCGATTTAATCTTAGAACCAAGTTTTGAAGCCATAGAAAGTAATTTTTTTGTATTTGTTTGATTAGTATCTAGTATAATGGTATGATCTTTTTGGTCACAGGTGAAGGGGATGAATGGTCTTTTTGGTCTTAAAGTACAGGTGTCAGTAGGAGAAAAGATGCTAGTTGGTGTAGCAGTAAGTTTGTTTTTTCTTTGCGTAAAATGATTTATGCTTAATAACCACGTAGCACTACTTTCATTTTGTACCAGGTGAAAACTCATACTTCACATATGATACATTTTTGTGCCTCTGATATTTTGTATTTGACTGCACAACATTTAAAGTAATTCAAACAGTTAAGTGACCTGCCTAATAACCTCATACTCGCATATGAGGTTAGGTATGTAAAGTTCTGAACAAATTTGATGGTCATGCAGAGCATCTCAGTGACTGCAATGTTAAACCTATTTCACAACGTGTGATACCCACCTAACACATAGGTGTGATCAAAAATGACAAATTGATTGACTTGTTTAGTTAGAGACACTAGATCTAGTGATGATTACAAAACCCGGGTGTGTGGGGCAGTACTAAAACTCAAGAGGGTGAGTGATGGTACAGGCACTCTTAAAGCGTATATAAATAAATTAAGAAATTCATACACAGAACCTTAACATATAAACACTGCTATCTGAGATGAGGCTATGAGGGATGACAGATCCATTCCCCAAATACCTTTCCCTTTGCAATGCATAATACTATCTACAACCACCTCTCCCTTGAGTATAGAATAATAACATGCAAAAAGCAGACAATGTCCCATAACTATCAGAATTTTTCTGGCTTTCTAACAATGCAACAAGAGCCATTACAACTTCATCCACACTACTCTATATGTTTTCCATGGGATTGAAGCTTATACTAAAAGAGAAATTGATAATTCTCTGTGTAGAAAACAATATAATATGTTATTTGATAGTTGAAAACCTTGGCTTTTTATTGGTTATAAATAACTTTGGTTCATTATTTAATGAAATAAAAATCATTTAGTACATTACTACCATTAGTATAAAAAAGTAGGGTTAAGTGTTATTAACAGCAAGAAAAAAAAAGAAGACCCAGGTAAGTACTTTATTTCTTGTTTTTCAGGTCTATTTTTTATTTATTATTATAAAAGTAACTAAAATATAAAAATAGGAAAAATACGGATCTTTTTAAGTTATTTAAGACTAGATTAGCTAAAATATGTAATAATAATAATATAATTAAAATGGTTCCCGAGGCACGCAAGCGAGAAGCTCAATGGTAATGCAATTCGATAGCGTAACATGAGCTCCACATTCCACAAGTCATTTACAACTTATAAGGACACAAATAGTAGATTGACACAGTGCAAAGGACGATAAAAACAATTAATTTTAAGTATAAATAAATGTATACTGTTACAAGTTTAAAAGCTACTTAGGATAAATGAATGTAGTTTCATGTTACAATTTGAAGTCATTCTAGAAAGAAAAAAGGATAATTTAGATTTATTTTGATTTTTTTTTTGGTGGTAATGTGGTTGGTCAATTTGACCAACCTTCCACTGAGTTAGGGTGGAGAAAATAATAGATCAAACATAAAGCTTTACTGAAAACAAACATTTGAAATGTATTTAGGAGGTGTTAGAGATTACAAAAAACCAAATATGAGGTTTTCGAGATGAAGAAAAGTATTTTTAATCTTAAGATGAAAATCACTTTGCACATGGACTACTCAAAATAAATACTTGATATATTCACAGATAAATATTTTTTTTAGTTTATTTAAAATGCTTCACAAAAAAAAAAAATTTTATTAATGTTTACTGAAAGACTACCAAATTTCATGAAGATGTACATACTATATTAAAAGTTAGTAGTATCAAATCTATAAAGACTTTATACGAGTACAGAGAGGTCATGTGGTCGGTCAAATTGATTGAGCCCATGTTGAGAGAGTTCACAGATCATGCTACAATACATTGTTATTGAAGTTTTCTTTAGTAAGAGAATTTAAAAAAATTTATAAGCATTTTTTATGAAAAGTGATACCCTTGTATATTTACCTTTCCCAGTCAAATTCTTTGCCTTTGCCATCACAATTAATAAATCACAGAGCCAGAGATTTTTTTTCTGTATACACATAAAAGCTACTCTGTCTGTAATACTCCCTTTGTTGATAACATTCATAATGGCTGTGTGATTAATCTCAAGCAGAACTTTTGTGTTCAAATCCCAGTCATGTGGGGGTTTATTACCACTTCATTTAATTAACTCATCATACTTAAGAGGAAAGTCATATAATATTAGGAGAAAAACACAATAACTTGATACATTCAATTAGAGATTTGAATTATTTGTTAATGTTTGATTACAAAGAATAAGTGTCATAGTGGTTATAGCACTCAACTATAATGTGGAAATCTTATGTTAAAATCCCAGTAGAGTCAGAATGTTGCTAATTTTTTAAAATACTTATTAAAATACTTATTAACGAGATTCCCACTGTTCCTATCTACTATCTGGCGAAACCACAGCCAAGGGAACGGGCTTGGAAAAATCAGCCA